AACTTGAAAGGCAGTATGAAATATTAACTGTGATAGACATATGCAGTGCTCTGTCATGTTAGTTAATAACAGTAACTTGTTCAGTTTTAAAACTACTTTACAGCAATCTTTGATTTAAACGTTACAAAATAAAGACAGACACTAACTCTCTGATAGTCTTTAAAACATACACACAAGTACGTGCACTTCCTTTACTAATTACTCGGTTTTAGGAACTGGTCAATTGACTGACTTAGGTCATCGTCAAGGAGAAAGTCTGTATATTACTTATCACCAGACCTTTGCTCAGCTTTCAGCTCAGTTATCGTTCGCAGCAGGAGCTGACACTGTTTTACTACTGTATATGGCACATATAATATCAATGTTTGATATTAATTTAATATTTTAATTCATTTACTTATTCACAGATAGGGAAAAAGGGAAGTCTCTTCACAATCTTGTGAAAGGCTGCAGCAACTCTAGCTGTTAGACCTTAGGTTATTATTCTGTTAGCTGTCTGTTCTGTCTTTCTAAAAGGCTTTGATACCTGGGCAATTCTTAAATAGTAACAACTCCTAATTTTGGGACCTTAGTTAATACAGCAGTACCAAACAAGAGTAAGACTTTATAGTCTGCAGTAGGTTTAGTCTTAGATAGTTATGCCTATGTCCAAAAAACAATTAGTTATTTTAATTCAGATAAATGTGAAATAGTGAATTTCACACCAAAAAAAAAAGTTTACCTTTTTTAGCCATGTTAGGTTAATGTTTAAATATGAACCTTATTCAAGATTGAACAATTGCAAAAGAAAAATGAAATAAAACAAACACAGCAACTAAAAAAGGAAAAAAAGCATAATTCCATTTAAAATTGACTAGGTTGGCAACAGGTCAGCTCTTCAAGCATCGTGCTGTTCATTATCTTTTCATCATTAAGCATCAACTGTTTCATCTATATCTTTGTTATCAAATTAATCAGTAACTCATTTTCCCTCTTAACTTAATATTCTTCAGATGAACTTTTCATCTGTTCTTTCTTTAATCATATTTTGTGATACATGATCACCAGCTTCCCAGCAGTGAAGGTCTTCAATCTGTTTCTGTTTCTTGAATGATGATTCCCTAAACCAACCAGTTTTGTTCCGCAGATTCAGTAGCGCATGCATGTGTTAAAAGAATATCTGCCACTGTAGCAAGAACATGAGGAGGACGCAACCCTTTCCCTCATGATGGAGCATGTTGTTTTTATATTCAGCTGCTGGGAGTGCACTTTGCATTGTTTTAGAACTGACTGGGCTTTTTTTTGCTTTATATTTTGCTGTCTCCATCATCATTGCTTGTTTGTTTGTATTTCCTTTAACATTTGCAACAGTCACTCTGAGATCACAAGCTGAATCAGATTCATGGTCAGATTTTGGCCCTGGAAGCATGGATCCAGAAGGTAGGCCGTATTATGAGCGAGAGTGATCACTTGATTTTTTTTTTTTTTGGTGATATTTTCTTCTCTCTCATTCTCTTCCACTTTTGTAAATGAACTGTGTTCAGTATTCTTGCATGTTTCTTAACATTGAGAAACTTGTTCTTGGCATCAGACAGTGCAGAACTATTATTTTTCATATTCTAAATGACTTATCTACAGTATCAAGCAGTTAAATGAATTTGTCTTTTCACATCCAAAAGACATCATCATCAAGAATGTTAGTGCAGACTACTCAGGGAGAACACCCGGCCACCCCTTCTTCAACAGCAGCTGAATGAAGAGTCTTTTTGCATATTTGAAGTTCAAGACATTTAATAGAAGATGCCCATCGAGTAAGAGTAGGCTTACTCAGTGTGAATGAAACTGAGTGCTATACTAACTGATGCTGAAAAATGTTTGCTGGTACTTGTTTGCTTTTGAAAATCTTGACCGCGCTTTTCACTTGTAGCATGTGATGCGATGTTGAAGATCTTACAACTTTGCAAGTGAAAAACTGCATAATATGGGCAGCATATCCATAACACAAGTTGTGGATACACATCAGCAAAATTCAAGTAGTGTTCATGTTAGCCATGTTGTTGTTCACAACAAAAATAACCTTCTGTGGACCCAATTCACTAATTATATTTTTTAACTGGTCAGCTCAGTTACACATTGGAATAAATAAAACACTGGCTGTGGGGTTATCACCATGAAGTTGATGACATCTTCACTGCAAATATTGTTCCATCCCTCCAGACACTAGAAGTACATGAGGCGCTTATGCGGTAAGAACACCAAACTTTTTTTCACATCCTCTGCTTTGGCATTCAGAAGACTTCTGCAAGCCATTTCTTTCTTGGTCCTTTGGGTGCAACTTACAAAAATAAATTTAGTGTATAAGGATTTTCGATTATATGAAATGGAGTATTGCTGGCATAATTACTTCTAGCAAATGTAGGGGTAAGTTCGTTTTTCTTGTAGTAGGACATTCTATATAAAAAAACTTTTGATACTGATTTGATGAACATCTGAAGACTTTCCAGGAGTAGGAGTTTTTGATGCCGAAGCAAATAAAGTAACAAAATTCTTATTTGAAGATGAAGAAATGGAATTAGCATCATTTTCATTGCCACTTACATCACCGTATTCATCAAAAGACACCAGGCTTCATGATGCTGCTGTCAACGACAAAGTAGAAGAGTACACAGAAGAAAACAAACTTCGATGTAGACCCGTTTACTCTTCCTTGCTGTTTGCCTATAATCTTTTGACAGTAGCTGGACACATCACAAAAATTCCTCAAGTGAGGGTTCTCTATTCTATCTACATTTGTCTGATATCAAGAGAGCATAACTTGCACTTTGCTTTAACAGTGTTTCCATGTTCATGTCTAGTAATTATTAAAAATATATATAAAAATATTTTGGCTTTCCTCAACTCTGCATAATTTATGATATTACTATTGTTAATGTCTCACTATTTCTGGATTGCTGTCTCAGTTATGAAATATCTCTTGAACTTTAATCAACCAGTAGCTATTCAGTCTTTCTAAGCGCTGCTGATTGGAAGATTCCATCCAGTCAAAATGTTTTTGGGCATGTTGTCCCCTCCCAGGACCTTTAAAGACTCCCAGATCACATGAAGGTAGAGGTGGGCAGTCGGCTCCTTCTTCCTACAGCAAACACACAGGCTCATAAGCAGCAGTAGAAAAAGGAACAGAGCGGAAAGGGGAAGGGGAGGGGCTCTACAGAGATGTGATGTCACAAACCTCCATTAACAGAACTTTCCATATTTATCAGCAAGGTTTGGTTGGAGATAAGTGGGGGGGAGTTGATGGAGGGGATATTTGAGGGAGAGAAGTGGGGGTTTATTTACATAGGCCTATAACATGGGTTGTTCGTGTTGAGGGCAGTGGGGTTAATAGCTGTGATATTTTTGTTTAGGGAGGACGTTTGATGGCTAGGCATCTTTTCTTTGTGTTCGAGGAGGAGGTTTAATGACTGAACACTCCTTTCCCTTCTCCAGCCTCTTCTGAATTTATTTCTGTAGGTTTGTCTTGGAAGTTTAGATTGACCAGGGCCAGGGACCATGTCTTTTAACTCGTTTAATGCGCTTTGTAGACCACCATGAACAATGATGGCCTGGTATATAAATAGATACATGTATAATGTTTGTTCTAGAAGATTCCAGCCAATTAAGATGATCAACTTTCAGTTAGTTCACCTTTTCCCCATCAGATGTCATTAGCTTGTAGTAAAGTAAGTAATCAAGACATTTGGACACCATTAAATTAGGCTTGAATAAAGACTGGGAGTGGATGGATCATTACACAAAGTAAAACTATTTCCCCATGTTTATTTTTCCCCCTATGGTTCCTCACACCTTCTTGTCAACTGCTGGAAATGGGCCATTTTGATTACCACTACAAAAAAATTTTTCTCTCTCCTGCTGGTAATAGCTCACCTTAACTGATCACTCTCATTATAGTGTGTATGGTAACACCCATTGTTTCATGTTCTCTGTGTGTGTGTGTGTGTGTGTGTGTGTGTGTATATATCTTCCTACTGTATTTTCCACTGCATGCATCCGATGAAGTGGGTTTTAGCCCACGAAAGCATATGCTCAAATAAATGTTAGTCTCTAAGGTGCCACAAGTACTCCTGTTCTTTTTGTGGATACAGACTAACACGGCTGCTACTCTGAAACAAGACACTTCAGTAAGTTTGCTAACAGATGTCACCATGTTGCAATAAAAAAGCTAGGCCATCACCTACATCTGCGCATGGTTGCTGGAATATCCAATATTTGACCATGGTTAAATAGTAGGCTGTTAATTGATAGGTTTAACAAGCTGATCTACTGACCAAACATTGCTATTACAATCCCATTGGTTAATGCATCTGAGGACCTTGTAGATGAAAGAATAGGAAAACTTATTCTGAATTACCAAAAACTTCCTTTTTCTGATCCAATCCTCCCATCTTTGGAGAATTTCTTTGGTGTGTAGGATTAAAAAGCCCTGTTGGTCCATTCAGCTTGGTTCTTAAGAAATATGCTCTACAGAAGAAATTCACAGCTTATTACTATAGCATATATAAACTTTCTAACAAGTTTCAGTCTACAGGGTGTTATCCTTAGCTGTGAAAGCTGTTTAAATTGGCAGGTTTTTCAGAGTGCCTGTCCATACCCTCACATATCAGTGATTGATAGGTCTGGTTCTGCTTGCATAACTGCATGCAGGCTGAGAGCCCGTTGGTTAATAGTTCTATAGACCTTGTAACTCAGAGGAAATTTTTGGTAAATCAGAATAGGTTTTCATAGTCTCATATTCCAAGACTGTCCATACACACATTTGGAATTAACTTGTCCACAGGACAAAAAAAAAAAATACCCTAAACAATTGTAGTAGTCTACACTGATCTTGGTGAAGGTCTGTAGATTTCACTGTTCTCTTCTGAAGCTATTTAAAGTTCATTCAATCTAAGTTTAAGTTGTTTTGACTAGGCTGAAAAAGATGGCACTCTCATCTACATTTTCTTAAATATACTCTCTAACTTTAGTTGGAGGAGAGCCGGAATGTTCAAAAGCAGATGAAGATACTGCAGAAGAAACAAGCACAGGTTGTGAAAGAGAAAGTTCACTTGCAGAGTGAGCATAGCAAGGCCATTCTAGCACGCAGCAAACTGGAATCTCTGTGCCGGGAGCTTCAGCGTCATAACAAGACTTTAAAGGTTAGTTTATTTGTGTAAATTGTTTTAAGGTAAACCCTATTTCTGATTGCTATTTATATTCATACTTGCTGCTAGCTAGCTGGTATTTGCGCTGTTTCATGTCCAATACCCAGATCAATAGAGAATAACAACCTTTTTGAGTATCGGGATTGTGGGAATTGGTGTGTTTACTTTAGTTAGTTTCCTTACTTAAACTGGTCCATGGATCATACTAGTTTAGACTGCTGTAGTGTCTAGTCTTGCCGTAATAGTTACTGAGAGCTGTGGTGTTGGCTGCTAGTAAAATAACATGAATGAAATCAAAACAGTGTAAAATGACAAGATATAAACAAAGCTTGAATTGGCATGAGTAAGATGGAAAGGAGGTTGAGATTCCATTCATTTCCCTAGGTGGTTATTGTAGGGAATTGCTTCACCAAATAACTGTTTTATTAACTTTAGGGTAGCTTTTAATTGAAGTACAAAAACATTGGTGAGGAGATGAACACAAACCATTCAGCTTTCTGTTTCAAATGTATCAATGCAGGATTTTTTTGCCTCCTGGATAATCATTGCTGGCCTTACCAAACCATACTTACATCAGTTAAACTCTTTCTCAAGCCATAAAGACGAATGCTCTTCAAGCATACAATAAACCATATCAGTTTTAGGTCAATTGAAAAGTAAAAACAAAAAAAAATGCTAGAGCTTCACTTGCCAATACCAAAATATATAGAGCATGGTAATAGACTGCTGAATGTATTTTAAAATATCTACATTAAAACACCCAGCTAAATCCAGAGTGGTTGCAAGACCAGGAACCAGCTTCCCTAAAGAAGCATCCTGATAGCACATTTGATCTCTTATCCACACAAAGCGCACTGAATTGGTAAGGATTTAATTTTGTCAGTTTGGGCAAAACTTTGGTTTTGGTTTTTGAACATACCAATGTTGTGGAAGTATTCAGACCTGAAGTATTTATTTTGACCCATCTCTATCTTAAATATTGATTATACGGGCATATTACATCACTTTTGACTTGCACACCATTAACAAATCCTTTTGGATAAAAGGAAGAAAACATGCAGCAAGCACGTGAAGAAGAGGAGAGACGTAAAGAAGCAACTGCACATTTCCAGATTACACTGAATGAAATTCAGGCCCAGCTGGAACAGCATGATATACACAATGCCAAGCTCCGCCAAGAAAATATTGAATTGGGGGAGAAGCTGAAGAAACTAATTGAACAGTATGCTTTGCGGGAAGAGGTAATTTAAATTTATGCTTCCATAGGCACTCAAATTAGTTTCCTTACTACATTTAAGTGGTGGCTTTCTAAAAACATTCTTCAGTAATTTAAGTGGTAAAATTGCATGGTATACTCTACATAAATAAAGATAAATGCCTTTTTTAATTTCAGGCCTTCTTAACAAAAATTAGGTGGCTATTTGGCCCAAAATCTCTTCTTTCAATCCCCATCCCATTTCCATGGGGTTCTCTGGATCCCTAACAGAGCTCAAAGGATCCATTTTTCCAGACATTTCCACTGACATTAATGGCCTTATTATAATTGCACTAAAATGTGTGGTGCATTAAGTCATTAGCAATTGCACATTTTTCATTATATTATAAGGTAATGGTTCAATTTGAGTGGACAAAACGAGTAAAAGTGGTGGAACATGTTTAGGAAGGTCTTCTGTAGATGTATTTTGGGTTGTTGACTTAGTCATCTTATGCAAACATATGTTTAAATGAGTTCTTCTAAATTAGTTTATGAAAAAGAGTATTTAATTGTTTGAAACAATGTGCTGCTGTTCTCATGAACTTTTAAGGAGCCTGCTTTGTTTCCCAAGTGTGTGCTGCCCAACTTTCCATTACCTTTGTTTTGTCCACTTAACTCCTGTTTTCTTGCATAACGTCTGCTGAAATCGCACCCTATTTCTAAGATCTTTACAATTGAGACTTTAAAAAATGTAGTATGTTTTTTCAATTTTTATATATAATCAGTAATATTTAATTTAGAAATTATATTTATTATAAACATTTCCTCACTTTGCTTAGTGGTGCTACAATTTAAAGTTCAGCTTTCCTCAAATTTCAGTTGTTATACATTAATTCCTCAAATGTAACTGGGTGTAGATCTGTATTCAAGATAAATATTTTAATTGAGCTGTATATTAGATTGATACTGAGGAAATCATATTCACTGATGAAGTGCACAGTTGTCTGTTCGAAGTGTAGGAAAGTAAAATGAAGGTTATTTATTAAACTACATTTGCATTTATGTTGTAAATATAAGTTAGAAGTGATCATGATTAAAATCAGTTCACTTTCGTAGGCCTGGTCCACACTAACCCCCCACTTCGAACTAAGGTACGCAAATTCAGCTACGTTAATAACGTAGCTGAATTCGAAGTACCTTAGTTCGAACTTACCGCGATTCCAGACGCGGCAGGCAGGCTCCCCCGTCGATGCCGCATACTCCTCACGCCGAGCTGGAGTACCGGCGTCGACGGCGAGCACTTCTGGGATCGATCCGAGATCGATTTATCACGTCTAGACAAGACGCGATAAATTGATCCCAGAAGATCGATTGCTTACGTCCGGACCAGGAAGTAAGTGTAGACCTGCCCTTTGTGAGTACTACGGCTTTCTTTGGTTCCCAACCAGCAGTTGTAGAATACGTATTCTCTGATTTTTTTTCATAGTGTGGATTGTTTTCTAATACTTAGGTTGTCATGAACCACTTCTCTCCCCTCTCATTCATGATCACCTCCTGTGGCAACCAGAGCAATTGTTTGTGGAAAAGTAATACTAGGAAGTTAATGTAATTTAGTGCTATTTAACAGCTGGAAATGAGATGTGACCAATCAGCTGTTTGTAGGCCACAGTTTGCAAATCTTTGCATTTACTTTCTGGTTTTTAAGTAAAACATGGTTGGGTCATGTTTTCATGCTTCTCTCATCAACTGTGAGGGGCAGAAACTTTTTTAAATGAAAGTTCAAATTCTCCTGTAGTCACTTGACTCTGGAGGTTGGGCTTAAAGAAAAACACCACATATATTGTGATCCAATGGTCAGGCAACCCTGACCATTGGATCACCAGGCCTGAATACTAAAACTGTTTTTAAAACTTTTTTTTTTCCCATTAAAAAATCTTTTATGTTGGTTTAACTATGTACTGCTCATATTACACTGTCAGGTTTTACTTTTTCCTTAGCATATTGACAAAGTGTTCAAGCATAAAGAATTACAGCAACAACTGGTGGATGCCAAACTTCAGCAAACAACACAACTTATAAAAGAAGCCGAGGAAAAACATCAGAGAGAGAGGGAGTTTGTAAGTTGCTTCTAAGCTTACTTTAAAAAACAAAAAACACAGCAACTGAAGGGGCAGCATATTTAGGGCTAAGATAGGGCTAAGGGCTTTTCTATAAGATACTAAGATCCAAATGGTTTAAATAAATTAAAAGGAACCTGAATTGTACCTGCAATATACAACTATACAGGTGCAAACAAATAATGTGCATGCAGCTGCAGCTTTTTTGCGGCACACTTCCTTGTTCTTCTGATGCCTGAATTTGGTCAGCTATGCTATAAGAAATGTGAGGCAGAAAGAGGGTGAAAGCAGAAATAATGTAAGCACCTTTAAGAGCACTTGCTGTTACCAGGAAGTGTGTGCCCAGTGTTTTCTGAGCTCATGAGACTGAAAAACTAAGAATTTTTACTTGCATTCTTCCAAGCAGTAGCAGCTTGGTTGGAAACTACGTAACACTGAAGTCTTCAATTGAAAACGTGCCCTCCTGGTGATGAAATGGCTTTAGACATTATAGGCCTGATCCAAAGCCTTTTTAAAGTCAGTTAGAGTCTTTGGATCAGGCCCTAAATATTCACTCCCCTCCACCCAAAGTAGTGACTTTGTTTCCAGAATTTGAACAAAATCTTACAAGGTGTTGGGGAGAGGGCTATGTCTTCTATTTGTTTTTATTATGTATTTATAGATAGGGTATAGAAAAAAACTTGAAGTTTCAAAATTGGCATGAATATAGTCTTCATTGAGAATGAGTACTTATGTGTGATTTGGGATGGAGGGGTCAAAAAAATCAAGTAACTTCTGGCCATGTTCACCAATCTTTGAAGACTGAGATTTAAAGATAGAGGATACCACACTGTTTTGGTAAAGAATTCTTGCTTAGAAGTACAGGTGTGTGAATCTTCTGTTTTCTAAAAGCTAAAACATACTGATAATCTCCTGATTTTAAATTAGACAAAGTAGATTTTTAGAAAGTTTAAATTTTAGCCAAGTTTGACAAAAACTCTCCTACTTTGACATCACTACACTTTCTCTCTTCAGCATTACTGCTTTACGTACAGCAGTCGTTAATGTTACTGGCATAGTTTTGTTTCATATAAGACAATCGTCGAAGCAGTCCAGTCTTTGCAAATAACTTCTTTAACATAGATGACAGGAGAATATCACAAGTGTGAAGCTAATTGTACTACATAACTTTTTTTCCACACTTGGGCATTCATATATTTTTGTAGTAAAATAGCTTTTTATTGTACTTCTGCATATCATTTAACACTTAGGTGTTCTACCAGAATGCAAACACAAACTGAATTTTCCCAACTGTTTGAGAGATTTTCCCGTGTAATAAAATCAATTCCAGTATATCAGTAAATGGTTTTAAAATATCAGCTAAGAACTATTAGTTTGTGACAGACGGGAGAACACAATAAGTAATCTGGCACAATTTTTACCTATTTTGTTCTTTAACAAATTAATTTTTTAACCATTTAATACAAGAGTAGGCAAGAACATGTTCAACTGTATGAAGTTTCATGGTAAATCAAACTTTCTCATTGATATTACTTTGTATCAAGCCATTGTTCTTCAAATGATTACATATGTCTATTACACTAGGTGCATGCACACCTTGTGCATAGATGCTGGAGAGTTTTCCCTACCAGTACCCACCCATAGGGGCAGCCATGCCAGTGCCATGGTGTCCCTCGTGCTCTGAGCCGAGGGTATAAAAGGCGGAGCTGCCCTGCCTATTCTTTGGTTCCTACTTACTGTCCATGATTGAAGCATGCTGGCAGCTCATTCCTCCTGGTAACGTACCTTTATAGCTAATAGTTGCCTAGCTGTAGTTAACAGTGATACTCGTTTTGGTCCTTTGGAACCCCTCTTCTTTTTTTCTCTTCCTTATTGTCAGGATTTGGCTCCAGGCTCGACTTGGTACCAGGGGAGACTATGCCAAGGTGCCCTGGCTTCAAGCCTTGCTCTGGGTGTCCCAAACCAATTCCTGTGAGTGATCCTCGCTCTCACTGTTTGAAGTGTTTAGGTGACAGGTGAACAGTCTTCCAAGGCTTCAAGACCAGAACAATGGAGCAAAGAGAAGATTCTCTCTCATACATCCTCATGGGGGCTGCTCTTTGCCCAGCATCAGAATCTGACCGAGGGAGTTCCTTGACCACGCTTTTCACATGTGCTCCCCCAGCCATACCTGTGGACCGAGACAAGAGAAAATCTCCCTCACCACAGCAGTCCTCAAAGAAACATAAATGCTCTGAGCATTGTAAGAGGACTGTTTTGTCTTCATCAAAGTCCTCCATATAGAATTCCTTAGTTTCAGAGCTTAAGCCACTCTGGTATCGTAGGTAGAGCATGCCCTTCAGCCCACCACTCCCCAGTACCGCAGTTTAGTGGCTCTTATAAAGTAGAGCTGTGGATCCACGTCCAGGACCGTGAATACTGGCTACTTTATTGGCACATATGGTGGAACCATTGCCCCTGCTTGCAGCGGGGCAAAGACCCCTTTCAGTACAGACCACTTCAGAGGCATACGAAGCTTGCAAAAGATCTGCTGAACCTCTCAGTACCACCGTCACTGATCATCCAGATTGACAGTGTCCTTCCAGAGCCAGTACACATGGTGCACGCTTTGGGGTATGTTATGATGCCTGTGACCTCAGGTCCTGTATTGCTTTTCCTCAATGTCTGTTCCAAGACCACTGGTAATGGCTCCACGTCAGATCATGGTACCAATCGCTAGGAAGCCCTTTCAGGTCCGTTTCCCAACTGTTTGTTTTCTATCAAGGACAAACGAGAGGGCATCCTGTAACAGTGCAATGGCTTTCTAAGTGGATCACCAGCTGTGTTGCCCAGGACGCCCCCAGAGAAGCTGTCTGTGCATTCAATCAGAGCCCACTAAGCCTCCACTGCATTTCTGGGAAATTGCCGCTTTGCAGATGTCTACAATAGGGACAGAGTTGTCTTTAGTCCACACATTTGCTAAACATTACACAGTTACTGTTGCATCAAGGAAATATGTGAATGGGAGGAAGAGTCCTGTAGTCCATCTTCCGATCAGACTCCTAGCCCACATCTCCATTGAAAACAGCTTGGGAGTCATCTAGTGTGATGGACATATGCAATTACTCAAAGAAGAAATGGTTACTCACCTTCTCGTAACTGTTCTTCAAGATGTGCTGCATATGTCCTTTTTGCAACCCACCCTCCTTCCCCAACGCATTAGAGTCTATCATCTAAGATTCTGGTACAAAGAAACCGAAGCGTGGGTGGTGCAGTTCTTCCCTTTATATACTTCGTGCTTGCAGCTCAAGGGATGCCTGGCTGCAGACTTGGCCAGCCCTGTGGGTGCCACTAGGGAAAACTTTCCAGCACTGGTGCACGAGGCACACCCCCCTAATTTAATAGACATATGCACCACATCTCGAAGAACAGCTACAAGAAGGTGAGTAACTGTTGATTCCCATTTACATTATCCTTAAAATTTTGCCCTTCGATATAATGTGCGATAATACAGTACCATTTTCTCCACTTTTTAGCTATTAAAAGAAGCCACTGAGTCCAGACACAAATGTGAGCAGATGAAGCAGCAGGAAGCCCAACTAAAGCAGCAGGTAACTGTACTGTTCGATACAGATGATCCACAATGACAATATCAATAGATGCTTATGGTTTTGACTCAAGCTTGACATTTGAGAAAATACAAAAAATTACAAATTAAACTTTCATTAATGGAAACATTGCATTTTTTATGGAAACTTTAATTGGTAGCAGTTGTCTGTTCAATGAACACTTCTCGTTATATGTACATTGGAGATATTAGTTAAAAATAAGATTTTCTTGAAATTGCTATTTGAGGCTCCCAGTTCCCTCCACATTACTGGAAAGTGATAGATGCTGAACTGCTAAGATTGTTTCATTAATTTAAAAGAATGCTGCATCCATTGTGCTAAGACTAGAATATCTGAACGTCTAAGGACCTGTCCTATCTGTGGCCTCCACCCCGCTGGCTATTTCACAACACCTCTCTTTTTCCCTGTGGGTGATTCTCTTCCCCAGGATATCACACCCTTTTTTCCTGGTCATTCTGGACCCACACAGTGCCCTCTGACTGGAAAATGAGCTAGGTCCCTTCTCTTTCCATAATGACTTGTGGCCCAATCCTTGTTAGCATCATGTCATTCTGAAAGAGATGGAGGGTAGTCAGTAATGAATCAACAAAGTTTACTATAAAACTTATTGATCCTTGCAGTCACTAAGGCCCTGTAACCCTGGGGTTCAGGTTGACTTTGCCTTCTTTTGCCTCATATGCACTTAGGCTGGGTCCAAATCCTGGTGCTTCTTCCTTCATAATATATCTAAAATTGAATCTTCTCTCTATCCATAATGCTAATCCTCCTGTCCAAGCATTCTTTCAGCATGATTACTACAGCCACCACTTCTACCTCCTCTGGTCTCCCCAGAACCCACATTGCTCCCTGCTTCTCCTGTTAATACAAAATAAGCTCCTAAAACAGTCTTCCTGTGGTCTTTTGTTTATGCCCCTTTCCACATCTACCTTAATCTGATTCTCCTTTCTCAGATTTTCATACACACCCCTGCACTTATCCCTACCTTTAATTCACAGAGATCTAACTCAGGTTTTCCCTACAGAATCCGATTCTTTCAAACTGGATTTGTTTAGCTCTAGGCCAGGCCAGTGTTTCTCAACATTTCTCAGGTTGGCCACCCCTTACGAAAGTCAAAAAATTTTGCAACATCCTTATACTCACTATAAAAGTGAAAGCAAAAAATGTATCCTTGATAAACCCATATAATTTATTTCTGTGTGTATTTCAAAGGGTTAATAGAGAACACCTGACCTTGAAGGATAAGGGTTTGTGGAGACTGGGGGAGGATCACCTTATGGCCACCCTCAGGGAGGTTACCTTTTGTGATTCTCTTTCCCTCCTCCCCCCCGTGACCACCAACCAGTTAAGAAATGCTGATCTGGACAAATTCCTGATGGACCCTTCTGCAAAATTGGAGAGGGAATGTGTTTTGTGTATTCAGTCCCTGTGCTTGAAATTATATGATCATGCCTCTACCAGCCTAAAATTTGCAAATTATGCCCCAGCCGTGATAAGGTTTGACTGGAAGAGAATTGAGAGAGTTCTGTTTGCTGCTTTAAAGTTTTTTTCAGGTTAAGTGGGAAGCTGCTAATAATGGCTGTGGTACTCCTAATTTGCCTATTCGTATAACAGCAGATTCAAAAATCTGTCCTCTGGCTAGAATGTTGTGTTTACTAGAAATTCCACGGATGAGGCTACTTCATTGTCCTTACCAAATAATCGTTAGTTCCCTTGCCCAGTTGGTCTCTTATAAGATGTGTAAACAAGGATATTAAAAGGCTTGTTTATTCCCTATCAGATCTCCACTTCCTTGGAGTTCCTACTCACGGTGAAAATTTGTTAGGATAACTTAGGCCCCAAACAAGTCCCCACTTCGATTTATGTTTGTAGGATCAGGGCTGTAGTTGTTTCTTAGCCATGTCTTTGAAATAGTAGCAAGACCATGTGGTTGAGAGCCTCGGAGGCGGATGTCACTTCAAATCCAATCTCACTATTACACATGTAGAATTTGCACTTTGTTACTAAATCCCACACCTATGACTACTTCAACTTTTATTATTCATCTGATCCTAATTTGCTTTGGTATTTTAATCCTTGCCTTGTTTAATATTTTGTATCTTAATTAGTTTTTAAATTACATATTTACACCTAAATTTGTGCTTAATTTTTCAAATTTTAGCTGTTACCTTTATTTGTGCATAGTTAGAAATGCACCTCTTTCAAACTTTTATTTAACTGAGATAACAACCCATGTCTTAATGCCTAACTTTTGTTAGAATATAATCTGTTGCTTTATAAAGATAGCCCTAGCTCAGCATCCATGCACAATTTGAGTAACCATCTATTTTTATACAGTCATCTACACATGCTTTAGGTGAAAATTTACCTGATAGATTAGAGGGGGAACGTAAACATTGTTCTCTTATCTTTGTTGCATTACTATTAGCTGAAATTTCTGATGTACCTTAATAAACATTGCTTGTGTGGTAACATTGCTATACAGTTTAAATATGTCCACATTTTTTTCCCCAAAGCTTTCTCTTTACATGGATAAGTTTGAAGAATTCCAGACCACCATGGCAAAGAGCAATGAACTTTTTACAACCTTCAGACAAGAAATGGAAAAGGTACTTTATATAATTATGATGTTAGAATTTCATGAAAAATATTAGAAAAAAAAATCTAGCTCCTTATTGGGCCTTAAAATCCCTGAAGAGGCTATATAGGTGAATACAATTTTAAAAGTATTTGTAGCTGGAAACACTGTAAAATGGCACATTAAAACTAGTTATCTACCTCTGATTTCAGTCTGATTACTGAGAGAGAAAAAATCAGCATAGTTGTGGAAGAACATGATGCAATCCATTCTTCTGAAACTCTTGGCGTAACTGCATGCCAAGTTCTGATTCCAAAAGCTAATATTAGAAGTAGAAAACAGGTTTTAAAAAAAAAAAAAAAATGGTCATGTGCAATACTTTTAGTTAGAAACTACTCTTGTTTATAAATGAAGAAGATGATTGTAGAAGCTTTTGAGGGAGGATGGAAATCATTTTTGTAACCACCATAATCTTAAAAGTAATATTTTTAAATGTTAGTTTAAGATTTTAATAATTTTTCATAGGTCTGACATGAAACCCTTTCCTGTAAATTCATTTTATAAGGTTACTTTGAAAACTAAGGTTTAAGCAACTTACTAAAACATTTTAATACGTGGTTACCTCTGTTTTGATCCTAGTTATAAAACTAGCTTTACTATATTTTTAGATGACCAAGAAGATAAAAAAACTGGAAAAAGAGACAATAGTGTGGCGTACAAAATGGGAAAACAACAACAAAGCTCTTCTGCAAATGGCTGAAGAGGTGGGTAACAATCTTCATAGTTTAAGGAACTGTGTAGTCACATTCAAGCAGGGCTTGACTCTACGTGGCCCTTCATTTCTAGATAGCTGGAGATTGTCAAGAAATGCTACGTAGCTACTCAAATTGTACCACTAATTTTTTTTTTTAATTGCTAACAATTTGTGCGTCTCCTTTAAATAACTTTTCCCAGGTAAATTGACCATCCTTCTTCTCAAGGACAAAATGAATTCTGCTTTTTGTAATTGCTATCCATGACATTTGATCTTCATATGTCTAGTCAGTCAAAAGCATAACGTAGGAATTGGCATCCTTAACCTATTGCTTATTAGGTAGGACCTTGTGGCAAAATTGTACAAACTATTTGAGTCTATTAAATACTGGGACAGGTACTAGTTTGACAACCCTAAAGAATCCTTGGAATTGTAAAACTCACTTAGCTGCAACTAGGGGTCAGTGTAGTTCTGCCATGTCTGTTAGTATTCTTTCTCTTATTACCAGATTTCATGGCAGAAATGTATATATGCTTGTGTACAAACTGCTTTGAAATCAGAAATATTTGGTACCCATTCACTAAAGTTGGCTGAGTTCCATAAGTAATATCCCTGTAACTGTAGTCTTGAATAGTAACAAGTTGTGTGTTTTAGTCTGTGAGCTCCTAGTGGACTCTTGTTCACATTAGAAAACACTTGGTCACAGCTGGCAGTATGTAGTACCTTATGTTGCATCTCATCAGACTGACCTGTCACCCCCCCTACATGTGGTCCCCCTTTGGTTTAGAACAGGGGTAGGCAACCTATGGCACGTGTGCCAAAGGCAGCACGCGAGCTGATTTTCAGCGGCACTCATGCCACCCGGGTCCTGGCCACCGGTCCGGGAGGCTCTGCATTTTAATTTAATTTTAAATGAAGCTTCTTAAACATTTTTAAAACCTTATTTACTTTACATACAACAATAGTTTAGTTATATATTAAAGACTTATGGAAAGAGACCTTCTAAAAACGTTAAAATGTATGACTGGCATGTGAAATCTTAAATCTGCGTGAATTAATGAAGACTCGGCACACCACTTCTGAAAGGTTGCCGACCCCTAGTTTTTGCCTGAGAATTTGCACCAACGCTGTCAATGCTCTGCCTTTTAGAGGGATTAAAGAGAAGACTTTAATCTCTAAGCCTGTCAAAGTAGTGCCTTTTTAAGAGAAATAAATTCCCCCCAAAAATCACTTCATTAGGTTAATCTCTGTTTATTTTTATTCCTTACAGAAAACAGTTAGAGACAAAGAATACAAAGGCTTTCAAATAAAACTGGAGCGTTTGGAGAAGCTGTGCAGGGCTCTTCAGACGGAGAGGAATGAGCTGAATGAGAAGGTGGAAGTTCTGAAGGAACAGGTTTCTGTAAAAGAAGCAGATGTGGATCTAGCAGTTGAGGTGTTGCAGTCCTGCACACTCAATTCCCATGAGGAGCTGGGAACTTCCACTGATACAGAACCAGGAATCCAATCAGATGCTGAATCAAGTGCAGCAAATGAAGGAAATGGCTCTGAAAAGACTGTCTCCACGAGTCCTGTTCCTGTTGACTAAAATGAAGCGTAAACACTGTATTGAGAGATATATTTTGTGTATAACTTTCTCTGTTGGTGGTAACTATTGGTTTTGTGGTGAAAATTTTCTTACTTTTTCTACCATATATGTATTTTCTTAGAACTACTGGACTTATGTGGTACAGGAAGCTGCATAGCAGCTTTGAATAGCGTAATCTATACATTTTCCACAACTGTGTTGCACATCTGCCTCATTTTAAAAAAATATTTTTCCATAAAGAATGCATGTGCATTTCCTCTCCCCTAAACACAAATCTCACCATGTCAGTTAAGACTTGTGTACAGATTTAACATTTCATGGGGAAAAGTGACAGGAGTGTCACTTCATTGGTTTGAAAATAACATTTTGCTTCTGTTAACTGAACTAAGGTTTGGTATACTAATGTAATTACCAAACTCTTCAGTAAATTATCTACATTCATCTAATGGCCAGTAGGAACTTCAACTATCTCACCTGATTATATATGAAAATAAGGGTCCAGAATATGATCAAGAATATTTTACAGGGTTTTAGTGTAGTTGTGGTATGACAAAAACAGCTTTCAAATATACATACTTTAATTTGCAGCTGGTAAAACAGGGTGTACAACTTTCTTGCAAACTTCTCAGGGTTGTGCTCTAAGGTTAATTCATAGACAGACAGACTGTATTTGCCCTCCCTGTGAATGTGTTCAATTTAACTTGCAAAGAAAGCATACAGGAATGAGTGTTTATGGAGTGAAGTTATCTGTAATGGAATATACACAACTGCAGAAGTGTTAGTCATTTTATGTTCCTTAACATGAAGCCTCAGCATTGCAGAGAATTCATAAAATGATTATTTCTGATTAGAGAAGTTGTATTAAATCTGGATATTTTAAAACAAGGAGTTCTTGTAGATACTTACTGCATTCAGTGCTTAAGACATCAATCTTTGGTTTGGATGTTCTTTACTTAGCACTGTATGCAATATATTTAAGGATCTGTAAAGAACACAGTTAATATTTGATCATGTGGATTCAAATATATTCCCAGAGTAAAACATTTAACTTGTCACACACCTAACCTGAAAAGACACTGATCAGCAGACAGAGTGCCTTCCTGGTACCTACTGCTTGTCTGGTAAAATTGGTAATTCAGAGGTTTCATGTTAAACTAATATGCCATAAGTAAAAAAAAAAAAAAAAAAAAATTTACATTTTAAAAAAATGTAATGGACTGCAGTTGTGAGCCTTAGTGTTTCATTTTGAAAACTTGGGTATCAAATTTTTAAGGGAACTGTTCTCTGGGACAGGCTGGGACCAACATTTATTTTTAGCAAGGCAGGTAATGTAGGCAGGTCATGTGTTAAGTAACAAGCTACTGTTAACTTTAGCCCATATATGTTCGCTTTCTAGTTTCAGTCACTTTTATTTTAAGAGATACAAACGTGTAGCTTTTTCTGGTACTTAATGTTCTTTGCACTTAACTTCAGTGGGGGATTTCTGAACCAAGCACATAACTTTCAATGAGCTTCCCTCCCCGCCCCCTTTGTTCTTTTTGGCAGTTTAGTGGCTAAATTACTTGAATGTTCAGGCTGCACTGAGCTCTTGATCCCTTCCCTGATGTAATGATGTACATTAAAATAATGTAGATGTCTTATAAAGAGAATAAGGTTGTATAAAGCCTGATAAATGTGTTTTAGCTCATACCACTGAACAAAACTGACATTTCTTAAATTGTGTAGCAAATGAGTGACATAAATTGGGAACTGGCCAGTTTTTCTCTACAATTTGCACCGTCTGTTTTGTATTCGTGGTCCACACATGGTGAAGTAATGAGAAGGTCGAGGTGAGCAGTCAGAGGTTGGACTCAGCTTTGAAACACTAATCACGGTAACCACATGGCAACAAAAATACTGGAAAGAAGAAACATCCTTCCAAAGTTGCTTCATCAAATGAATTGTCTGACGTTGTGCGTTGTCATGGAATCCAAAAACTGTAACAGAAGTAAGTGTTTAAATTTCTGCCAAAACTGGTCTTCAGTTAATAAATTAAGTGAACGTGAAATAATTTTCCTGAGGGCAAGTGAAGATCTTAATGTATGAATTACAGCACAACATACCCTTGGCAAAAGGTACAAATTTCACAAGTGAAGTGGAAAGTGCAGTTTTCTCTTTTTAAAATGTATTTGGTCTCCTGTATCTATAACCACCTTTCTTTTTAGAATGCGTGTTCCATGTGTAGTCAAGAGTGAACTTTGGACACTGCCACAAGGGCTGTAAAGATATGTGAGACGAATGGAAGAGCAGTACAGACGATATGTAGTTACTGGCTTGCATGTGTAAATGAAGCAGAATGCCACTAGTAAAGGGTTTTAAGGAATCTGGGATTTTCTTCTTATCTCTGTGTGACCCTGAAAAGGTCCCACATCACACCAACCTTCCCTCTAGCAAAGGTGGGCTGGACTTGGCTTCCTGGAAGCAGTTAATGTCATTCCATGCACTGGCCAAAGGGGTGTTGCTATAAAGAATGCAAGTGATAAGCCCAGCACTCACACTGATCTGCCATACAGCAGGCTGTTGCACTGCCACTGTACAGCCAAATTGGTTCCAGTAGGGTTTTTATGGAAACTTATATTGTGTATCTTCCATAACCACAACTGTTTTAATCTGGGCTGTAAATTTATGTAGCCTTTGATGTGTACACCTAATTGTTAGTTGGGCCCATGATTTTTACCATGCTTAGGCTGCAAAAAAAAAAAAAAAAAAAAAAACGTATGTGATGCAAGACCCAAATACGTGTAGTAGTGTACACAACTACATTAGGGCTGTATCTCTCCAATCTGTTTTGTCCTTCCTTTATTACACTTACACCTGGTTATATTACAGTTTAATTCTCAGGTGTTGCAGAAAAACTACCTCTTCAGACTGTAGATGGAAATAACTGTGAAAAAAGGATGCAGAAATCTAGTTTGTGCTAAACACACTGCTTTATTTTTACAACCATGTCTGCTTTCATGAGAAAAAAAAATTGATAAATGAACAGGCAGTCTTGTTTTGCTTTTCAAAAACATTTTGTAGGGATTTTTCACTAATGTGAATCTGAAATTTTATCTACTCGATTCTGTATAGATTAAGTAAATATGTATGCTTAATATATCAGACTCTGTGTTTTTCTTTTATTCTTGGAACATATTCATTCCTAACTTGGGCTGTCTGGCATACTTGTTAGGAGCTTCAGGAGAGAATTTAGAGGTGTGAAGTTTGAAATTACTAGCAGCATGGGTACAGCACTCTAGCTGTGCTGTTGTAACATAAATGCTTCCTACGTTGACAGAACAGGTGTTTCCACTGATACAGGTAATCCACTTCTCTGAGTGGCAGTAGCTGCATCTACAGTGGGAGGTTAGGTTGACCTAACTCTGTCAAACGGAGCTAAATTTTTCACATCTCTGAGTGATGTACCTAGGTCGACCTATGTTTTAGGTGTAGACCACTCCTAAATGTATTCAGGTTAAATGGCAGCTGCTAATTTAAAACAGCAGTCTTGAAGTTTGAGCGTTTTAAAGCACAGAATTGCTGTTTCTTTGATGGAAATCTTAGTTATGTTCAACACTGAACACAAATGGGCTGAGTTTCGAATAAATTAGGGGCTTGGAATGTGAAGTGGACAATTTTGGGGGTTTTGAATCTTCACTACAAACATCAGTTACCTTTTTTTCATTACTTTGCTAAATTCCAATATTTTTAATGGTAATAGTTATGTGTTATTCTATTGTTTGTGGGAGTGGGTTGGCCTGATTGCGTCTCTCGTCACCTTGTGCCAGCTAGTACAAAAGAAGAAAACAGAATTTTAGGCCCCCCCAGATTGGGTGGTGTGTTTAAGTTTGTTTTCATAACAAGCTATGCGAACAACCACTACACAGAGGAATGTTCCTGCACAGTAAGACGATTACATTGTAATAACACCCAAAATGTCCATGATGTTTTCCAGACACAGTAGTATGCAGTCTCCTGCTGAATGGTGTAAAATGTGTAAGTCTCGCTCAGTGATTTTCCTGGAGCAGGAAGCTGTTTGGACACTGTTCTAGTGCGAATAAGACTGCTGGCTCTTGAGGATCCAAGGAAGTGTACCTTCAAAATTCCCAACCTGGCTATACTCAGGAAGTCTCATGCTAGGCTACCGGGCTCTCTATGGAAAGGCTTTCAAAGGGACCAGGCAAACTTTTCAGATATGTCTACATTTGGGTGAAACTCTTGTAAAATGTACACTAATAACAGTTCAGAAGTGTTAGTGAAGACCTGAAACAATTAGATTCCATCCCTGTCACATATCAAAAATGCTCTTTTGATCAGACAAGCAGTATTCTTAGGCGCACTCACACAACAACAAAATAGTGTGAATCAAGTCAATACCTGTTTCCCTAGCATGCAAAATGTATTAAGGAATAAATTGTTTTAAAATTCAACTCCGCTATTTTATAAATTAACTTCTACCTTAAAATTCTGTTTTATTGGTCCCTGCATCTTCAGAAATATTTGTGTAAATCCAGACCTGTATGGCTCAGGTATATTAATAGGATAGAATCTCGTTCATGTTTAAGATGCTTGTTCAAATCTAGTCCCCGTTGGTGATCAAAGTTGCTACTCCTTTCTTGTAAAGGAGTTAAAAGCCAAACATTGATTGGATATGGAAAGAACCCAGCTTAGTCGTCATTACCAGGTGGGGGCTGCAGCATGTTGACAAGGCAATTTAGAAGGGAGGCTTATGCTACTGTTGTCCAACTGGTACCTATGCCATGTTTCAACTGAGGACTTTATCAGGGATCAGTTTAGAGCACTGAATACTTCGAGTTTGTAAAGTATTACATATATGTATTTGGTTTTTGCAAAGTTAAATTGCTAGACTGGCATTTAAGGGAGGAAATTCTGTAAATGAAAGCTGCTTTTTCGAGTAGTGTCCCTATGGGTGCTCTACTCTAGGTGTGCTAGCACCCCCTGTGCCTTTGATCAGAGATTTCTCATAGCCGTGTCTGTTTGGCCCACACATGTGCTAGTTAGCCTCGTGTCCCGTTCTATTGCTATACAGCATTGGACGGGCAAACGGTCCTCAGTTCCATCTCAACTGCCTCGGACTGAGGCAGAGCTCTGGCAGTTGTCCCTGTTGAGATTACTTCTACTGTGTCCTGGTTTCTTATTGTTGTAGTTTGTTGTTGTTAGTGTAAATAGTACATAATAGTAACTTTAGCTTCCTAGTTTTAAAATAAATATATATAAATCATATACTTAGTGAACGCTTTGTACTAATATCTCGGAGATTATGCCCAGTTCTGGTTTCAAACGTTGTCTGTCATGCCAGGAGGAAATCCCAGTAAGCGACAGGCAGTCCTGGTGCATCCATTGCTTTTGGGAATCGCATATTGCCCAGAAGTGTAAGTTCTGTCTAGCACTGAAATGTAGAGCTGGAAAAAACAGGGTGATCAAACTTGGTCTCCTCATGAATGGAGATCTTCCTACACCTGGCTTCTGACCCAAGCAAAGGGACCCTCTCTGTACACCGGTCTCTGAGCAAATCTGCTGCCTCCACTATATCTGATCTGCACTTCTCCATCTAAGACTCGACTCCTCTCATCAGTCCTCCAAGAGACTGTGCCCCAAGTTCACAAGGTAGCAAATCTACCTCAAAAAGGCCAAGGTCATCAGTCTTTTCAGCCACCTCAGCAACATCCACTCTCCAAGCCAGGTACCCACTGATGCTACTGCTAGACTGAAAGATGGCAAAGTCTCGGACTCGGAGAAATCATTGGTATCAATAGCAGACTGAGATGGCAAGAAGAGCTCGTCCACTCCTTCCTCTGTACCAAAGAAGCCCGCTCGGGCTGCAACTGCACTTCCCTCAGAGCAGACAAGACTATGGTACCGGCCACTATTACCTTGGTGCAGACCACGGACTTGGTACCGACAACATGCTCAGTACCACAGGAGTTTCGTTTTCCCTGGGACCTGGCTGAGTCTCTGCTCCTCGGCTCTGACATATTTTCAGTACCAAGGACATCGAGATTGTCAGAAATTCACCTGGTACCAAGAGTTTCACCTCAAATTTCTCCAGGCCCCCCACCATTTCATAGTGAGTTTGAGAAAAGGGATTCTGATGAAGACCTTGCTTCAGTTTCCCAAATATCGATCCAGGGCTCTCCTCACCCCTATAGAGGCCCCTTTCCAGAAGTCTCTGATTAGTCTATGACCACTCGTGACACAAGGTTGCAATCATCATCTTGCTGGTATGTGCACCCATATGTGCCCCTCCTATGCCTCATGCATCACCTCCTTGGCCATACTGGGACCCTTGGGCAGCCTATCACCAGCTATTTTCCAGGGCTTCGAGCACCACCCTTTGCGATGATGGTTGCCTATCTCTGCTTGCTGTCTCTTGGAGACTGATCCTCAAGACGAAACCTTTGAGGAGTTGGAAGCTAGAGCCAATGAAGTGGTCTCTCCTCCAGCCAACATCTTCTCTTTATCTCCAGATGAAGCTGTCATGCCGCCGCCTCCATCCTTGGCAGATGATTTTAAGCAGTTCCAGGATCTGGTCAAGAGAATTGCTGAGTCCTTGCAGATCTCTCTCGAGGAGATTGAAGAACCTCATCATAAGCTGCTTGATATCCTTCATTCACCCTCAGCTGCCTGAATAGCTGTGCTGGTCAATGAGGCCCTTCTG